TGGGAGTGTTTTCAGCTAATTTCACCATACTAGTTACAATGAGCATATTTAGCTTTTTTATTCAGATTTAAAATACAAGAGGACAAACCTTTAGTGTGACCATCGATTGCTCCAGCACCATCATTTCAATGCCCTCTGCAATTCATGATATATAAAGAAGAATCTGAAATACTTATTAACAAAATATAAAATAATCCTTAACTAGTACCACCATTTGTGCAATCTAAAAAACTGATAAGTTCTCTTATTGAACTTTGAATCAACAAACTATATAATTAATAATAGTTGTTCTTTACATTAACTGCCAGAAACTTCACCAGTAAATATATAAAAAAGTTTAAAATTTTTTTTATTATTTTATCATTAATAATTTCTCCAAAACACTTTTTTACCTGATGATATGGTGTTATAGATATGTAAGAAGCATTTTTTTAAATAATATCTAAGTTGATATTGAAGAATTTTATCACCAGGTTTAACATGGAAATGTTGCAAACACTTGATTTTTTAAGAAAACAAAATACTTTACAAGAGTCGACAAGACTCGTATCTTTACAAAAAATTATATTTTTCTGTAACATACCTTTCAAAGAGATTAATTTTGTTTCGTCATTTTGTTGAATGATATTTTCAACTTTTGATTAAGTGACGTTTTAGACTTATACTTATAACATCTAACATTCAAATATCATAATAAACCTTATATATTTCAGGGTGTAAGTATTGCTGTACGTCCGACAGTGTTTTTTTATAAATAAAATTATTTACTCAAAGTTTAAATATTGAAAACTAAACTAAATAAAAAGTTAAAGTATAGAAAAAATAGTGTTAGGTACGTCCATTGTTTTATTTTGCCATGTGTTAATTACTAAAACATATTTTACCACCTGATTATCGCAAAACAAAGGCTTTTGACTAAGATTTTACTTAAGGTGTACTACTCAGGCCCGTAACCAGAATATTTTGAAGGGGAGCACTTTTTTTAAAGGCGCTAAATGGGTATAAAAATTGCATACAATAATTCAAAATGGAAAGAATGATATAATTTTAACGATTAAATAAGTTTACCTTTTTAAGAAAGCAGTGACCCATTTGTCCCGCCTGTGTTGTATTGGCTAAAATACCTATTAATGAATATTCAAATTTTTTAATTTTTATTAACTAACTCTGATTTTTATTATTCAAGTAAATATTCTATTTCAACAATTGAAAGGCGCAAATAGGACAAGGCAGAGGAGGGGGGGAGGACACGTGCTACCCTGTACCCTGTACCCTGTACTTTTTTTAACAAAAAAAAAAAAAAATTTAAAAACGTTAATTATTGTTTAATAAAACAATATTGGGTACGTCCATTGATCCTTCTAATTAAATATTTATTTATTTTTACTTTAACCTCCAGTTAAGAAAGATATTTTTATTTAAAATTGAAAAACTGCTCTAAGCAAGAAGCAATTTTATTTACTCTAAACAAGAAGCAAAAATAATTAATTTTTTTATAATTGTTTATATAACGATAATAAAACTTAAATCTTATTTACTTGACAGTAAAGTAAAAAATTATTTTTATCCGCAATATTAAAATATTTAATTGACTTTTTTTTTTTTTTTAAATCTAATTTTACTTTTTGCAACGTCTACAGTCGAACAAATCGTACCCTAGATCTGCCCCTAGACATATGATAAATTTTTTATTTATTTGTTATTTAGGTGGCCCATGAAGACTTTGTCACAGAGCACCGCGGAAGTGCATTTAACCAGGAAGTTTACGCCTGCTTCTTTACCGTGACGCGAAATATGTCCAAAGCTCGTTTCGAACCTGGATCTCCTGCTTATAAAGCAAGCGCTCTAATCACTGCAGAACTCTTTTCGATTATCAAAATGCAATATCAAATCAAATCAGTGGAGTTCAATTCTAATGTAATTGAAGAACTCAAAATGATTACCCAAAACTTTAATGATGTTCAAAAGTTTATAGTTCCTTCTTTTGATGAAATCAAAATTAGTGAAAATTAGTGTATGACAAGCACTCAAATAAGCTTATCGTATAAAAAATCTGTATGTAAATTATAGTACTTTTAAAGACATTAACGACCTTGCTTCTTATTGCTTAGTTAACTATGTTAGAGGTGTTGCTTCCAATTTAAAGTTTGCTTTGGCATATTTTGCAATTAAAGATGTTACTGCGAGTCAAGTTATTTTTACTTTTTGGAAAGCAGTGTCTGTGTTAGAATTAGAGTGTGTCTGATGGTGCTTTTCCAAATCGATTTTTTTACAAAATGCACAATAACATGGATAACATTGAATAGTTTGTTGTACACCGTTCAAAAAGTATATTTGCAAACCATTACATATATTTTTTTCCGAATGCACCACATCTTACAAAAACATTTAGAAATTTGTTACATCACTCGGGAGATAAAATTATATACGAAATTTATGGAATGAACAAAAAGTTGTATGGCTTATATAAAAGTTATGAAAGTCATATTATAAGTTGCCGCCTAAGTTGACCTTAGAACATGATCAATTCTTGCTCAAATAATTAGCTTTTAAAGCCAGAAACCCATGAAACAGCACAAATACGTGAATTAATGGATAAATCTTTTGATTATAAAATTAGTCGTAATCAAACGGAAGGCATTATAAAAAGAAAAGAATTTTTGTTGCACTACCGCAATGTTAACGATGCTCGCTTTGATTGGCTGAAAAACACCTTTTTAAAATACTTTGAAATTTGGCAAAAAAATGTTGAAAATTGAACTGGGAATATCCATCGGGGTGAACGTGAAAAATTGTTTATTTCATTACAAACATACTTAGGTCTCCATATAACATTGAATTCATCAATTGAAGTTACCAAGTTTTTTTTAACTGGTGGTATACCTTTTGTATTAAACGTTTTACTCAAGGTATCCTGGAGGAACACTTCGGGAGGCATCGCAACCTTGGTTGCTGAAATGAGATTACCCTCCTTCAGTTGGGACACAAATCAAATGATCAAATTGGGGCAACAATCTGTAGCCCTTGTTACTGGGAATACCATAGGAGCTCATATACAAAAGCGTAAATTATTGCGGAGAATCTCTTCTGATAAACCAATAAAAAAATTTAAGAGCAAAAGAATTAACAATATTTAACATAATTAACAATATTTTAAGATAAATAATTTTATTTATTAAACAAAACATATAACAAGTGACATATACAATTTTACAACATCTTTGTTACTCTTTGGACTGTTTTTCAAGCTTTTAAAAGTCCACCCTTTTATTTTTTGTTTAAATTTTAGTTTATGTTTAGTGGTAATGTCATTAGCTAAAGAAAATACTCGCACTCGAAAGTAAAGTTTTATCATATTTTCTAAAAGGTTTTTCCTAACATCATTGTCAATATACCACATCCTGTCAAGATAGAGTTATAAAAGCTAACTTCTTCTGTATTTTTCACTAAAACCACAGTCATTCTGGCAATGTTAATTTCTTGCAAATGAATAACATTTGTTTCATTTTGAAATTGAATTTCATCTTTCACAAGTATTTGATAGCATTCATTATTAACAGCTGTAAGTCCACTACGACTTTGTGCCTTAATCAATTCTTGATCTGTTGAATTTTTGAAAATAGTGTTATTAATATATTTTTATTATATTTTAAAAAGTAAATAATCTTATCATTTGGAGTCCGTGCAGTCAGTAACACTAATAAGTCAACATCTTCACCGACAATATCAGAAGTATTTGTTGCATTGGATTTTTCTATGGCTGTTTCAATTATAAGGACATCAGCGTCATTATCTGCTTGCTTCATTATAATATTTGCAGCTGTAAATCTTTTGCATAACATAAAAATGAAGCGAGAGTTGTTATGAGTATTGGCAAGGAGTTGTTGTTGGTTTGTTGGAACTGTCATAAATTGATCAAAAATTACATCAGGTGAAGGAGATATTTTTGTGGTTCAACGACGCTATTTTACAGCTTTTACAACAATTTTCTTATAATCAGTATAACCATCAAATAATAATATAGAACTCAATGACTTATGTACGTACTGAATGTATTTATCAAAAGTAACGTTAAAGATTGCTTCTCGATTCCACACAACACGGTGTAATAAATACCCTCCATCGATGATGTAACTAGCATTTGTGTTATCAATTTTAATTCCCACTGATTCAAAGCAATTATAAATAGCTGATTTCTGCGTTTTATGCATTCTAGTTTCATCAAACATTGATAAAGGATAGGGGACTAATTCATATTCAAAATATTTTTTTATTTCATCCTCAAATGTCTTAGTAATACTCATATGTTGAAATAGTAATACTGGATCTACTTTCTCATCATGAACTTTTTATAGTGCTACTGTTGGTTAAAAGAGGAAGAACTTCATCAGCGCGTTTTAATTTGTTTAGTTTTAATTTCAAATAACCTTGTGAACCTCATATGCGTTCAGCTCTTCAGATATTGTATCCATAGTTTTGATGTAGGTCCTCGTTTTTCAAATTATTTTAGTTTTTCATTGAACTTACAAAGTAATGCATCGCACATTTAATTATCAACGCCAGTTTTAATATCAGTATACGAAATTTTGTTATTTATGACACCCTTAATGGTAGCATCAAGATTTGCTACCATCTCGTCATCAATTGCAAGATCTTTTGAAATTATTATAGCTAAAGTGAGCTAAAGTAATGTATGGGCTCTAGCAGCTCTAGCGTAAGCAAGGCCATTGAGCATTTTTTCTTCGATATTGTTGTTTTACGTAAGAGTCGTATTGTAAAACGAGTTCAATTTATCATAGTTAATATATTATATACAAATATGCAATAAACACAAGAAAGATATTGTAGATCACAGCTAGTAGTAGAACAGTTGCTCCAGTCCGTTGATGTTTGATAGGTTACTCCAAGAGAGCGAGACTTCGATAAGCACGCTATTTATACATATTCCCAAGAGGGACATCAATTGTTTAGTATAATCAGCCAATCCAAATAATTTACGTTTACGATAACTTGATTAGCGCAACACTCCCGCCACCAACAGTAGTAACATATAGCTGAATGTTATTTTCATTCACAAACGTAGTTTCAACAACACCAAATTTATTTTCTTCACGTAAACACAATTTATTAACTGGGCGACTCAAATACGTGATTTTCCCAGCGGAGACACATCGCACATTTGCTGCACGCACTTGTCCGTCTGTTGACGGTGAAAGGTTTTCAATAACGCCTAATTTCCATAATCCTCGAACCAAATTTGCATCTTGAATTATCACTACATCGCCTTTCTTTATATTATTTTTACTTCCACATTTATTATTACTTCTATGAAATTCGCGAAGCTCTGTTAAATATTCACTGCGCCACCTATTCCAAATATGTTCTAAAATTGAGTTTGTATATACAACGCGCTTTTTTATGTCCATATTTTTATAACCATTTTTCATTAATAATGTTTCTACGCTTATTCTTTTGCCATACACGAGATGATTAGGAGATAACGGTTCGTCTCCCAGTTGTTCATACAAAAACGTTAACGGACGCTTATTCGTAACGACTTCGATTTCTGCAAGAATTGTAAGTACTTCTATGTACGATAATCTTGCAGTTTTTAATAATTTCCTGAGAATTCTTTTGACTGAACGTACCATACGTTCAAAGAATCCTACTCACCACGGAGCGGCTGCAACATTGAAGTACCATAAAATACCTTTTGAGGATGCAAATTGTTGTGTTTCATCGGCTGTAAAACACGATTCATTATCGCTAATAATTTCGTAGGGTGCGCCAAATTTGCTAATGAGTCTTCTCAACCTTCGAATACACGCCAAAGCTGAACAGTCAGGAACTATTCTAAATGTATAAAACGTGTACTAGCACAAGAGGCTAAAAGTATCCAACACTTAAATATTTCTCCTTCAGAATATATGTTTTTCACAAATAATGGTCCCCAGTGATCAATTCCTGTGTACTTAAAAACATAATCATCGTTTACTCTACTTAAAGGTAACGGAGGAACATCAGGATAACTATAAGTTTTTCCTTCGTACCTTTGGCACAAATAACATTATTTAATTAATTTTTAAATTAAATTTCTAACTTTTGGAATCCAAAATTCCATTCTTAATTGGTTTAGCGTTACTTTAACGCCGTTGTGCTTAACAATTTTATGACAATGTAAAATAATTAATTCAGTAAAAAGACTTTCTTTTGGAAGAAATATTGGAAATTTAATATTGTAACTAATTGGAGCATTTCCCAATCGCCCCCTACATCTTAATATTCCTTCGCTATCAAAGAAAAATCCCAAATCATTTTTTAGTTGTTTATAATTCTTAGAACTATATACATTTTGTTGGATAAATTTAATCCAAATTATTTTGGCGTTCTTTAATTCACTAGAAGAAAGTAAAATATTGTCTTTTCGTACTTGCGTATTTTTTAAGCAAGATACGAATTTTGGAATATAAGCTGTTACTCTTATTAAGCGAGAATATGAATTAAAATAAGTTATATCAATGAATTTTAAATCTATGAACAATTCATTAGTTACTAGTAATATTTTTGTTTCCTCTGGAAGGTCAATTAAATTATTTTGATCAAAGAAGGGCCAAATCTCTGGAGTGTAAAGAAATTTGGGTCCATAAACCATAGCTGATTATTAGTTAAACTTTCAATACTAGCACCTCGAGATATACTATCTGCAGGATTACGATCTGTTTCGACGTAATCCCAAAAAGAAATGCCAAATAAATCTCTAACTTTTTCAAGACGGTTTTGAACAAATGTTTCATAAACTTTATTAGAATTTTTTATCCAATGTAAGCAAATATATAAATCTGAGAATAATTTAATTTTAGAAATAAGAATGATTGATGAAAGTTCCTTAACTACTTTAGACATAAGAAATATGCAAGCAGTAAGCAACCTTTTAATTCTAATCGAGGTATTGTACATTTAATTAGCGAGGTTATTCTAGATTGTGAAGTGACAAGAGAGGAAAACTGTTCGTTCTCATTAAAAATACATCTTAAATATATACAACACCCAAAGTCTTTTAAACTAGCATCACAAAAACCATAAAGTTCAAATCGTGTGCAACTCGCACTCGATTTCGAAAAAAAAATAACATCTAGGTACATAAATCGACTGAACAGAACCTAAATCCTTATAAATATCTTACCATACTTTTAAAAATCTTTATTAATTTTACAATCCCATCCTATTTTAGATATACAAATTTGTTAAAATAAAATTTTTAAACGCACAATTACTAGGTTTATTAGTCCCAAGGGATCGAAAAAACTTGCTGTAAAACTAAGCACGTCTCTTTTTGTTGGAAAAGGGACGGCAATCTTATATAATTCAAAAAACGAAAAAATAAACAAATCTAATTCCTTGTTCCATGTTAAACCTAACACTTTAGTAATATTTTGACTCTGAAAATTCGTTTCATTTATTAACTTACCTAACTCAACCGAATTAGATTCAAATTTTCTTAAATTAAAACCAGCTTCACCTAGCCGGGAACGACATTTTTCATAAAACTTAAAACACTCAATTACAGAATCAGAGCAAAAACTCAAATTGTCAACATGAATAGAATTTAGTAATCTACTTACAAATATTGGATCAAAGTTGCTGAAAGAAAAAAAGGAGAAGTGACTCCAAATAAAACTCGACATAATCTATATGTTACTAATTTATGATCTTTTAAATTTTTTATATTTAAGTTATTAATATTTTCATACCATAAAAATCGTATGAAATCGCGATGTTTCTCAGAAATTGAAATGTTCAAAAAGGCGTTTTCAATATAAGCAATAAATGCTATCTTATTTACACGAAAACGTATCAAAACTCCATATTGTAGAGTTGTTAAAGAAGGACCTGAATGTAAACAATCATTTAGCGAGGGACCTGAATTTGTCGCACTCGCATCAAATACAATGCACATTTTAGTTGTAACTTTATCTTCTCTTATAACTGGTCTATGAGGTAAATAATGAACAAGTCCGACCTTAGATTTGTTACTTAAAACTTGCTCTACCGTTCCATTTAATAATTATTCTTTTATAATATCATTATATGAATTAAATAATTTTGCATTATTTAAAAACTTTTTCTCTAATGATTTGAATCTCTTTAAACATAAACTATAATTATCGCATAACAAAAGATGATTCTCCTTAAAGGGTAGTTCTACAGTATACTTATTATTTTCAAATTTAATGCTTTAGAGAAATTGTTCGACAACTAAATTGTCGCTAATATTATCTTCGTTTTTATTCCAAATAGTTGAAAACTTATCTTTTAAAAACTTTTTATCATTATATAATTCTCCTTCGACTTTTAAAACATGCGAAGACAGAACAGAACAATCTACTTTATTATTCTTAACCTTGATAGGACCACTGACTAAGTATCCTACCATAGATTTTATTGCAATTGGGCCTTCAACCCCTCTTATTATCTTATTTTCTATTATTGACCAATAGTAATCCGCACCTATTAAAATATCAACTTCTAAATACTCATTATCTCTATGATAATCTGCTAATTTTAAGTACTTTAAATGATTATAATTTTTACACGCAGTTTCTGTATACTGGCCATTTAACGGAGAACAAACTTCTTTTACAAAACATATAATTTCAATATCCACCCCGCATTACCTTGAACATAAACTTTAATTTTACTTAAAATTTCATTTGTATTATTATTTCCGAAAGTTTTTATATTATTATCACAAATAGATATATGGTGAGGCTTGTCACACTTAAAACATCGAAAATTTGATCTACAATTTTTACTCGAGTGACTTTCGCGTAGGCAACGAAAGCCACATCTTTTTTCAATTAAAATATTTTTCCTAGCTAAAACATCAGTCATTATATTACAATAATGAGACTTAGGATTTTTTAAACAATAAATACATGTAATTAAATTTGTAGAAATATTTTGATTACGGAAATTATTTTGCCACTCATACGTCGTGCCTTCTTAATTCCCAGGCCTCCCCAAAAATGGGTTTTTAGTAGACAAGCGCGTCTCTTGGCTAGTTGGCTTGATAAAACGTACAAAAGGCGCCACATCTGTGTGTGACGATCTGTCTAATTTATTTTAAAGTAAGACATTTATCGGGTCCTGATCTATCTGAAGACTTAAATGGCTTTGCATTATATTGCGTCGCGTTTTGCGCAAATTTTTCTTTTGGGGCCTCAATTTTTTAACTGGCCGGGGCCTCTCCAAACCTCTGAAAGGCCCTGAATATATATATATATATATATATATATATATATATATATATATATATATATGTAATATAAGTGCTAATCCACGTTCAGAAAGAAAAATAATAACATCTAGAATACGTTGGAAGAATTTTTTCCAATTTTCAGTTTCAGTCTTGAGTTCTGATAAAAGTAAATTATCCACTGAAGTTTCACATAATGCTACTCTACTAGCAGCTTTCCATACAACATAGTTTTCTTTATGGTAAATTGAACTTTCGTGCGACGGAATACGATCTTTCAATCTTCTCCAACCTCTACTGATGCCCCATCCGGCAGAAATAGAGAAAAATGACACATTTGCAGCATTTTTGTTAAAAAGAAAACATTGTGCTCAATACAAAGATTGTTTTTCAACACTCCAGCACAACCAGTCTCTTTTGCATGTTTCTCCATTTGCAAGAGTTTTGTTTAAGAAACGATAAGGAAATGCATGATGATTAGAGTCTTTAACAATATTATTTGGAATTTCAAAACAAGTAATTTTAAGAAAAGAGTTCACTTGACAAGAATTGTTCTTGTTGATAATCCCAATGTCAATAAAATTGAACGGATTACCTTGATGAATCGGATCAGTTATTTCTGTTTCCATATCTCCAATTTTATTTTCACCTGCATTTTCCTGTAATGAGATTTCGGTTTCAACCCGTCCCTGGTTCATAATATTTAAATTTCCTGCTGGTTGTTGTTCCAAAATTGGGTCTTCTGCAATTGGAACAACTATATTTTCAATGTTACCATTGTCACTCACACTTTGAGTTTGGTTTGCTTGTTCAATTTGAACTGTGTTTTGTGATTTTTTTAAAAACGAATATATTTTCTTTGAGTTGGTGCATGGTTCTTCGGCCAATTCTTTTCTCCGCCGCCTTTTACTTGCACCACTATCAAATCTTCTCTTTATTTTAATGGTATCTGGAAATAATATTGAAATTTGAAAATATAATAAATTTATACATCAATCAAACTTATACAAATTTATAAAACGAATTATGTTTTAAAATTAAAAAATATTACTATTCTCAAAGTTACAAAATGTAACGTACAAAACGCAATGTACAAAAGCGCAATATATCAATTTTATACAAAATGATAAGAAACAGTTCAAAACAAATTGATTTAATCTTGTTTGATGAATTACAACTAAAAAATTTAAGAAAAAATGAAGCTACTAAAAAGCAGAACACTAAGTCATAACTTAAAAACTCGTACGAGTTAAAAGTAATTGTATCAACTTGGTGCAATTAACCCTCCGTCGCGCCCGACGGAGGGTTAATTGCATCATTACATGACGTAATCTTTATCATGTCGAATTTAAGTTTGGAAATGTGTAATTATGAAAAAGAAATTAATTTATTATC